GGGAGCCCCCCCAGCTCTCCCAGCCTGGCTCCAGAGGGGCTCCAGCCCTGCAGCAGCTCCATAATTTCCTTTTTGTGTCCATCTCTGCTTTCTTGGCACCCGGACCATGGGAGTGTGGCCGGGCAGAGCTGAGCCCAGCTGCGGAGCAGAATGAGCCATCCCTGGAACCATCCCTGATCCATCCCTGATCCATCCCTGATCCATCCCTGGAACCATCCCTGGAACCATCCCTGATCCATCCTTGATCCATCCCTGATCCATCCCTGATCCATCCCTGATCCATCCCTGGAACCATCCCTGATCCATCCCTGATCCATCCTTGATCCATCCCTGAGCCACCCCTGGGCCACCCCTCCTGCCGGTGGCTTTCGGGTCCCCTCTGCAGCGGCTCCCTTTTCCCATCCCTGTGTGTGCCGGTGACTCTCTGTGGCTCTGCTGTCCCCGGCCTGGAAAATCCCATTTTTCTGCTCCCCCCGGGGCTGAGCCCAGCCGAGGGAGGTCCCACGGGAGAGTTTGGGTCCAGCAGTGCTGCTCTGGCAATGCTGCACAGATCACATCGAGTCTGTGTCCTGCAGAGGATCAGCCCCTGGGCTTTTCTCTGTTCTTGTGGCAACATCAACTCCTCTCTGCTGAGGGCAGGCTTTGGGCAGCAGCAATCACAGGATCTCCCCCATTCATCCAGTCACCTCTGGAATTCATTTTCTGTTCACTGTGTGCAGCTCTGCTCCTTCATCCCAGCCCTGCTCCCACGGCTTTCCCCGTGCCATTCTCCTGGGATTTGCCCTGGGAAGGTGGCACTGGGGGCTGGCACTGATGGGGAGCCCGGTGAGACCCAACCACAGCCTCAGCTCTCACATCCTCTGCTCTGAAACAGGCTGGTTTCAGTCTGTGTCACTGAGCTCAGCCCCGGCAGGACTCCTCACCCCCCTCCCAAAACCCACAGAGGCTCGGGGGTGGGAGAGGCTCCCCCACATCCCATCCTTCTTCATGATTGTCCCCCAGTTTTGTTGTGAGGCCATCCCAGCTGCTGCTGGTTTTGCTCTGCCACGTTTTTGGGAGGGTTGTGCTGAGCCAGGCACTTCTCTGCAGCTTTGCACCAGCCTTGGTCACAATCTGGGCTTTGATCTCTGCTCTGTGTGCTCAGAAATCCCCCAAGGTCTGGGGTGTTACTGAGCTCTGTGAAACCTCCCAGCCTGAAATCCAATTTTAGCCCCTGCAGTGCCTTTATCTGCCACCCAATCTCTCCACAATTTACTGACACCCAAACCCTGGCAGGGCTTCCAGCACGGGGTGGTGGGTGCAAACAGGGAGCTCAAACCAGCAGCACGAGGTTACTCAGAGCAGGTTTCTATCAAATCCTGGCCCTGCTGCTCTTCCCAAAGGGTTTAAGGTGCTTCTGGCCTTTGATCCTGGGGCTTTACCAGCTGCACTAACCCCGACTCTGCAGATAAGAAGCAAATAAAGGTCACGCCATCAGTTGGTGACTAAGCTGAGCCTAAACCCAGCTCTTTGTGCTGCCAGCCTCAACCCAGAATGAACTCCACGTCCTCCTGCATGGCAATGGCACGAAGGGCTTAAAACTGCAAGGCAGATGCACATTTATGTTCATTATGTATTACATTTATTTGTTGTTTCTTTGCTCTCGTTTCAGGTTAAATAATTCCTGAGCTGACTTTGAAGAGGCAAACCAGTCCCACAGGGGAGTCTCTGGCTGGTCCCTGGTGGTGGTGGGAGCTCCTTGCACCTTCAGCTCCCCCCTGGTAACACCCCCAGCTCTGATGGGCTGGAGCTCAGAGCAGGGCTGGGTGGCTCCTTCTGTTCTCCAACCCCCCTGAACTGCCTGCACCCAATTTTTTGTTTCTTTTAATTTTTTTCCCTCCCTCCCTTTATATAAAAAGGCCTTTTTTTGGTCAGAACTTTGCTAGTGATGAGACAGCACCGCGGTGCATCTCCGTGGGTTGTGAAAATAATGGATTCATTCCTGAGCTGATAAACAACGAGCGAGGATCTCTGGCACTGCATCCAACTGCCAACGGTAAAACCAAGCTTAAAACAGGAGATAGAAAATCCTGGTATTGGAAATGAGGGGGTTTGTAATATTTGAGGGAAGGAGGGAACCCTGAGAATTAAAATAAATCAGCTGGGAGTCGCTTTGTGATCGGATTCATGGGACGCCCCATCCCTGGAAGGGTTCCAGGCCAGCTTGGCTGGGGCTTGGAGCAGCCTGGGATGGTGTTTGGGATCACAGAATCCCAGAATGGTTTGGGTTTGACCTTAAATTCTATCCAACCCCACCCCTGCCATGGCAGGAACACTTCCCAGTGTCCCAGGCTGCTCCAAACCCTGTCCAACCTGGCCTTGGGCACTGCCAGGGATGCAGGGGCAGCCCCAGCTGCTCTGGGCACCCTGTGAGACATTTCCTTTAGCAGAAAGATTCCCTTTATTAGCAGAAATATTCCCCTTTTCCCCAGGGATCAGTGGGAGGTGGCACTGGTGGCTCTCTGGTGTCCATCCATGGTGGGAGCTGGGAATTCTCCATCCATCTGGGAGAGCTGTGCAGCTCTGCTTTCGGGGCTCCCTCGTGGGGCTGGAAATCCTCCCAGCAGCTCCCTGGAGGGCAGGACCAGAGGAGCATCTCCCCCCTGGAGGTTTGGCAGCTCGGTGAAAGAGCAGCACAAGTCTCAGGATGTGGACTCTGAAAGAAAAAAAACCTTCCCCACCTCATGCTTGGGCTGCTCAGAGTCTGTGGTGTCCTTGTACAACTTCCTTCCTGCTCAGGCAGCTCTCTCTCATCTCATTTTAGGCTCCCTGCCTGCCACACTCAACATTTCTGTGTTTGTTTGCTGCTTCTGAAGAAGAATCCTCCCCTCCTCGCCAGCCCACTGCTCCTCTGGAAATTCTGGGGGCACGGAACAAGCACGGCACACACCAGGGAGGTTTGGAAGCATTGAGGACAAACAACAAAATGAATCCATTTGTGCAACAGCTGATGGAGAAATGCTCACATTGCCTAGGAAAAATGGAAAAAAAAAAAATTGGGGAATATTTTGTATATCCCAGAACACCTGGAAATGGTTTCAGGGCTGCTGAAGGAAGGAGACTGCTGTGTTTCGCCTTCTGGGTGCCCAAAGATCCAAATCCATGCTCATGTGCCTGATAAATCCCATTTTCCTGTGCCACACTGTGAGGCTGAGTGTGACAAAGCTCTGTGAGATGATAAATCCCTCATCCAAAGGGAAGGATTTGGCCAGTGATCAATCCAGAGGGATCTTAAATCAGCCTGGCAGAAGGTGGAGCTTTGTTCTTACCTGAGTGGGTTTTTTTTGGGAATGGGAGGAAAATGAAATGCAGAAAAGATTCCCTGTTCTTGGTAGCCGTGTGACTCATAAATCCTCCTTGGTGTTCATCAGGAGCAATCCCAAAATATTTTCCACTTCTCTGCCAGGATGTCTGAGGGATTTTTTTATCCATTTGAACTGCAATTAGCTCCAGGAATGAAGTGCTCCAAACATTTGGGAATGAAATGCTCCAAACCTTTGGGAATGAAGTGCTCCAAGCATTCGGGAATGAAGAAGTGCTGCAAACACTTGGGAATGAAATGCTGCAAACACTTGGGAATGAAATGCTGCAAACACTTGGGAATGAAATGCTGCAAACATTGGGAATGAAGTGCTGCAAACACTTGGGAATGAAGTGCTCCAAACATTTGGGAATGAAGAAGTGCTCCAAACATTTGGGAATGAAGTGCTCCAAACACTTGGGAATGAAGTGCTCCAAACATTTGGGAATGAAGTGCTGCAAACACTTGGGAATGAAGTGCTGCAAACAATTGGGAATGAAGAAGTGCTCCAAACATTTGGGAATGAAGTGCTCCAGACATTTGGGAATGAAGTGCTCCAAACATTTGGGAATGAAGTGCTCCAAACATTTGGGAATGAAGTGCTGCAAACACTTGGGAATGAAGTGCTCCAAACATTGGGAATGAAGTGCTCCAAACATTTAGGAATGAGGTGCTCCAAGCATTTGGGAATGAAGTGCTCCAAGCCTTTAACACGAGGACGATGCTGAGCAGTAATTGAAGTTATCGCACCCTGCAGGACTCTCCTGCTTGGCATTCCAGGAATCCACCCCTTTTTGGGTTTTTTGGCTTCTGCCAGTGTGAGGTAAGGTCCACATTGGGATTTGCTGGCTCCAGATCCCCAGGCAGCCCCAAGAACCCGCAGTGCAGTAAGAGGGCAGAATTCCACCCGGGAGTTCTGCTCTGCCTCTCCCCTGGGCGATCCCGACGCTGGGTCGCTGCTCCAGGGTTTATCCCCAATTCCAGCTGCTCTCGGGACAGCCCTGCCATGCTGTGTGGGGGTCTGCACCCCCAGCCTCCCCGCTGGTGGCCCGGAGGCAGGACAGCAGCTCCTTGGGGACCAGCATCTGCTGGGGGCCATCTCCGGGCGGCTCCCAGCGCTGCTCGGGCACGGCTCCGTGGCCCGCGTGCCCGGGGAACCCCAGGCTGCTCTTGAGCACCAGGTTGATCTTCTCCAGCAGGAACAGCTCGGGGGTCCCTCCCTGCTGCTCCCAGAGCCGCGGGACGGAGCTGCTGTAGTCCTGGCAGCACATCCCCACCTCCGGCTGCGGCGCGGCCGCGGGCGCCTGTGCCCGGTAGATCCCGGCAGCCACGTATCCCAAGCTGTTCCCGTCGGAGAGTTGGGGTTTGTAGGCACCCAGCTGCCCTGCGCACGGGGTGCTGGGGGCCACCACGGTCCTTGGCACCTCCCTGGGCTCCTCCGGCCTGGATTTGGTGTCCCCCAGGCTCCGGGGCCGCTCCTGCGGTGGCACCTCCTGGACCTCGGTGACGGCGGGGTCAGCGGGGGCCAGGAAGGGCTCCTGGAGGCTGGCACCGGGGAAGTCAGCCTTGTCCTGGGCAAAGGGAGCAGGGCTGTGGTGCCAGCAGGGCTGTGGTGCCAGCAGGGCTGTGGTGCCAGCAGGGCACGGGATGAGCCGCGGGGCCGCTGCCAGCCCGGGGCTGCCCCCAGAGAATGGGGAGCGGGGCTTTAAAGTGCTCAGCCAGGCCGGCCCTGGGAATGATCCCTGGGAATGATCCCTGGGAATGATCCCTGGGAAATGATCCCTGGGAAATGATTATTGGAAATTATTCCTGGGAATGATCCCTGGGAAATGATTCCTGGGAAATGATTATTGGAAATTATTCCTGGGAATGATCCCTGGGAAATGATTATTGGAAATGATCCCTGGGAATGATCCCTGGGAAATGATTATTGGAAATTATTCCTGGGAATGATCCCTGGGAATGATCCCTGGGAAATGATTATTGGAAATGATTATTGGAAATGATCCCTGGGAATGATCCCTGGGAATGATTCCTGGAAATGATTCCTGGGAAATGATCCCTGGGAAATGATTCCTGGGAAATTATTCCTGGGAATGATCCCTGGGAATGATTCCTGGGAAATGATTATTGGGAATGATTATTGGAAATGATTCCTGGGAATGATCCCTGGGAAATGATCCCTGGGAAATGATCCCTGGGAATGATCCCTGGGAAACGATTCCTGGAAATGATTCCTGGGAAATGATCCCTGGAAACGATCCCTGGGAATGATCCCTGGGAAATTATTATTGGAAATGATTCCTGGAAAATTATCCCTGGGAAATGATTCCTGGGAATGATCCCTGGGAAATGATCCCTGGGAATGATCCCTGGGAATGATCCCTGGGAATGATTCCTGGGAATGATCCCTTGGAAATGATATCTGGGAAATGATTCCTAGGAAATAATTCCTGGGAAATTATTCCTGGGAATTATTCCTGGAAATGATTCCTGGGAATGATCCCTAGGAAATGATCCCTAGGAAATGATTACTAGAAATGATTGCTAGGAAATGATTCCTGGGAAATTATTTCCTGGGAAATTATTTCCTGGGAAATTACTGATTCCTGGGAATGATTCCTGGGAATGATTCCTGGGAATGATTCCTGGGAATGATCCCTGGGAATGATTCCTGGGAATGATCCCTGGGAATGATTCCTGGGAATGATTCCTGGGAATGATCCCTGGGAATGATTCCTGGGAATGACTCCTGGGCCGCTCCCAGTCCAGAAGGGAATCCTCTCCCATCCCTGCTCCTCGCGCGCTGCCTTCTCCCAGCTCACGGGGAACCTGAGCAGAGGAGGTGGCCCCAGGTCGTGCCAGGGGAGATTCAGGTTGGATTTTTAGGGAAAATTCCTTTGTGGAAAGGCCCAGGGGTGGAGTGCCCATCCCTGCAGGGATTTAAAATCCCCGTGGAAGTGGCACTCGGGGACACGGGGCAGCGCTGGGGGACCTTGGGCTCGGTGGTCTCAGGGGGATTTTCCGACGTGGATAATTCCGCAAAGCTGAGCTTGAATCCGAGGGGGAGCAAAGCCAGGGGGTCGCTGTGCCCTCACCTGCAGCGACTTCACCACGGCGCTGTTCTCCACGTGGGGAAAGTCTTCAACCAGCCACTTGGGCAAGAGGGACACCAGCGTGGCCTTGGTCCTTCACCAGACGGGAAAAAAACCCAATTTTATTCCAGTGCATTACTCGGATATTCCTCACGCCGCGTGGAAGCGCCTGGCTAGGAAGGACACGTGAAGAACACCCAGCCTGGGTTCCCCATTCTTTGATTTCACCAATTTCTGCTTTATTTGACTTATTTTTGGTTGGTCTCTGGCTTAGAGCACCAAAAGTCTTTTCATATGGCAGCCGGAAAAATGTGTGACATCACCCTCAGGCTGAGGTGAAAAGGACTCTGTGGTTGATTTTAAAATATCTCCCAAGAAATGTTATGTGTCTTCTACATACTCTCTAGTTGATTTTAAAATATCCCC